AAGAGAGAGATCCATGCATTCATTGAGAAGCCAAATGAGAGCAGATCTTTAGAAGCTACATACAACAAACAGGTATCAAGGTATCATCATATACACGTTGTATATCTTTCGACTGCCCTTCCCAATCTTACCTTTCAGAGGCAACACCGGAAGGGTTGGTCTTGTCGTCCTGCTGACTGCCATCAACGGAGGCTCTACAAGCCGTGATGGTCCATGGTGATGGACGAATGAGGGGTTCGCGTTTTCCAGTAGCAGCCGACCAGTGCAGTCAAAAGTTGTGTTCTTGACCGAACGGGGTGACATGAGTCCTCCTTTGATCAGTTCCTTCGTAATTGGTTTTGTTGTCGTTGTATTGTCCCCAACTTCCTCCCCGTATCGATGGTCTCCCATTGCCGAAAGCTTTGACAACTTAGTATGAGCTGATGAGCGCAAAACTGATGATGTTTTGCGAGTGATGTGATGTTGAAATTTTAGTAGAAGAGCCTGCTGCAGCCTTAGAAGATCGCAACGTATTGTGAAGGGGCACTGGCGAAACAGATGGCTGCGCCGTTCCCACAGAACACACACATTCTACGGTGCCTCGTCCACCTACAAAGTCCGGCATCGTGACTAAACGGTTGCACAGTCCCGACCAGCGATCTTTTCCGTAATTACCGGTACAGTCGTACGGTATCGAAAGGCTTTCGGAACGATAGATCTATCTATGCCTAGCTACTCTAATGTCATATAGTAAAAATAGCAAATGTATTCCGAAATAAACAAAGAAGCGAAACCCGTTAGATCATAACATTTCGGTTTTGATGTGGATTGATCATTCCGGACCTTGCTGCAGGCAATCACAAAAGAACACCAACGGACACCCCAGAGAACCGAAAACGTGTAGCAAGCAGCTGCTGTTTGACGGAGCCGGGAACTTGACAGCTAGCTTGAACCTCCAGGTACTACTAGCTACCTAGTAGCTAGTTATTTCATGGCAGCGTTTCGTTGGTGGAGCTCCTTCCTGTAAGCAGCACATTGGATTGCTACCGATATGTTCATTGATGAAGGCGTCGGAGGCAGCCAGGTTGCTCGGCAACCAACGCCAGGAACAAAGCCAGGAGCGAAGAGGAAATCACATCAACGTAAAATGATGCTCTCTCGACGACTGGTGACGAGCTTTTTAAGTAGGTGAAAAGGCGTTGTCAGCCAGTGAGATCAAAGTGGAAAGATCGGGCCATGTCAAAACTGGGCTCAAATGAGATCCTATTGCGTGTCAGGCTGTTGCGAGTGGCTTCGCTTTGGCACCTAGCTAGCTAGAGCCTCTAGCTAGGAGCTAGCTTGCCCATTCAGCCAGATTTGCGAAGCAAGCAACTGGAGAACAAGTACTGGAAAGTCTTGAGAGAGGCTGCGATCAGCCAAACAGTGAGCCATCAATGAAGCAAGAAACCCAGGTTGTGTTTCTTCCTTGATCTAGACAGGTGATGGAATGAAAGCTTCGAATCCTTGCTCCAACACTGCTCATCCTCGTCAACAAACCCACTGTGCATTAGCTAGTTAGTACCGGTAGCTCCAACACCGGAGGTTGGATTCAATCAAATGATTCGATTCGATTCGATTCTGAATCGAATGATCAATCCAATCGAATCGAATGCAATGATTAATCGATTTAATCGAAGGATCGAGCTCTAGAGCCTTTTATCAATTGCAGCAAAAAGTGAGTATTCTAAATATAATTTACTGGGATTGACAGAGACAAGCCTTCAGGCTGGAGTTCTGGTGCCACTCGGCACCAGGCAACAGAACTGTGGCTTGATGGGTTGACTCTGTGGTACTATTTCTATGGATTATATCGATTGCATTCACACACCATTGGTCTAGAGCCTCTATCATACCGGTACCGACTCATTGAAAGAGTCTGGTATTGTAATTGGGGAGCGAAATAGATTGATGAAAAGATGAAAAAACACAAAAACAAATGTTACAGCCCCATGCCCCTTGTTGTGCTGCATGGGGCTGTATCATTTGTTTTTTGATTTTATCACCTTGCCGTGGAGAAAAAGCACTCCCCGATGAGCCATGTGGCCTGTTTGAGCGATTTTCAATTTCGAAACGTGCAAATTCTCATTCGTGTATACCCATTCTTTCAGTCATGCCCTCTAAGTCATTCAGTCATTTCGTTAAATATTTCCATTAAGCTGCCAAAAACCTTCACTTGTGGGTATATGGTGCGTATTATCTGTTAATGCTCTACTTCAAATGGCAACTATAGGTTTAACACTCATCTCAAACAGATAACAGAAAGAAATAATGGCTAGGTCAACTTTGAATTTCTCATTACCCATACCTTTCAATGCGTCGGTATGCAATGCTCGAGTGTCACAGTCATCACTCTAAGAGAAAATGACTTTTTTCGAGATCAGTGTTCTGAATGACCATTCCGCAAGGGATGACTGTCAATGAGGCTTTCGTTAAAAGAATTGTCTGTCGTGACATAATGGCCCTGCCAATTAGTGATTTGTAAATCGGCATTGGCATGTGTACCACTGACGGATCACGGAAGTCTTATACTGTGACAAAGTAGTAAGAGGATTCCATTGAAACAGCATTGGATGACCGAGAGAAAGATGCTCCGCGTACGGTAGTATGACCCTGTGCATCTAACCGGTCGTAATAGCACTGAGCAAAGGCTACCGTCCCGACGCGTCCTGTACAGCGGTACAGCACAGCGGTACTGTAACGGAAGCCAGTTGCCGACGTGGTCGATAGTCTTCCGGAGGCGAGATGCCGCCCAATTCCACGACTTTCGGGTGGCATCAGCGGTGCCAACATCAATCAGACCCCTTCTTCTTCGTTTTAGCAACAGCAACAGTTACTGCTCTCATCATCAGTCTCACTATTTCTCTTTTCGATAAAAGTTAAGTGGTCCTTTTTTTACGTTCAACAACTGCTAACGAATCAACGTACAAAGTATATTACCAAGATGTTCTCTACCAAGACCTTCTTCATTACCCTTGCGGCAATCGCCTCCATGGCCAATGCCCAAAACATCCCCTCTGCGGCCCCGGTGGTGACCTTCCCACCAAATAATGCCAGCCCCGTCGGCCAAGCCGAACGTGGTTTCACTTTCAAGCAGCCTACAACCGCTGAGACCACCCTCCCACCCGGCGCTGAAGCTTGTCATACCTGTAGCTGCTTCACATGTGCCGGAGCAACCGATAATGGTGATGGCACCATTGACATCACCATCGAACACTGTAAGGGGAGTTCCGTCAGTTGGATGTGCTGTGTTGGTGTCGACGGACAGGAAGGCAACTGTAATGTCATTGCTCCTTGCACGTCAGCCAAGTGTTCGTCCATCCCAGAAAAAGCCGCCGGTGGTGGTCTCGTTATCCAAATCCCCGATTCCAGTACCTCTTTCACCATCAATACTCACGATGGTTTGACCTCGGGAACTGGTGATCTTATCACTAGCGTTTGCGGTGGCAACAAGAACCAAGGAACTGGCTGTGAGGCAGAAGATTACTCTGCTCATTGTGTGATTGATTTTGATGTCGAGGCTGACTGCTCGTTCACTCCCACTACCACCACCACTTGTGACACCACGGAAACATTCGCCTGTGAGGATGGAAGTACTGTCACCAGGAGTCTTCCTGACTGTGAGTTTGCTGACTGTCCCACACCTGATAGTGACCCAACAGATGCCGCCACCGTAAATGCCTTCACAAGGGGCGATCCTCACTTCAAGACGTTTGGAAATGAGCTCTACGACTACCATGGCGAGTGTGACTTGGTGTTGTTGAAGAACCCCTTGTTTGAAAACATGGGAATGGAGATTCATATCCGAACCAAGATCACGGACTGGTGGAGTGCTGTTGAGGCTGCTGCCGTCAAGATTGGTGATGAAGTCTTGGAGGTCAATGCTGGAAGTTTGGAGAAGTGGCTCGTTGTCAATGGAAAGCCCAACGAGGAGATGGAAGACAAGAAGTTCTACCACCTCTGGATGTCGGGCTTTGAAGTCCGCTACCGACGCAGTGGAGTTGTCCGAGAAGCCTATGTCTACCTCAATGGACGCAAGGAGCGCCTTGCCTTCAAGACCTACAAGGGTTTCTTGCGAGTGGATGTTGACTGGCAAGCCAACCCTGCTCACTACAAGGGAGCCCTTGGATTGCTTGGAAGCATGGACTTGGATGGCGACCGTGTTGGCCGTGACGGCAAGACTCACATTGGCAACCACAACGAGTTTGGTCAAGAGTGGCAAGTCCGCGAGGACGAGCACAAGCTCTTCCATTCCTATGAGGATGCCGTTGTGGCTCCCCAGCAGTGCAAGCTTCCTGACTTTAGTCCGGAAAAGATGGCAGAGAAGCAACGTCGTCTGGCCGAGTCCAAGCTGACTACTGAGGAGATTGAAAAGGCATGCAGCCACCTGCCGGAAGACGAGCGCAAGAGCTGCGAATATGATGTTATTGCTACACAAGATCTTGGCATGGCCGCTGTTTGGTGAGCCTTGGATTGTCTTGGGTAGTAGGTAACAGAAATAGAAACTCAGTAGTTCATAAACAATGTTGGTTTATCAAGCGGCGCGTGCTTGGGTACGGTAGACCGTCTGTACTATAAACAAAACTCAATTTAATAACAATTGCAGGACTTGTCTACTACCCCTACCGTACGGTATCAGGCTATCCAGAGCAAAATCAACAGAGAGAAACAAAAGGACGACGGCTAGAGCAAAATGGCGTCGCTTTGGCTGCTGTGCTTGCCGCTTTTCGAAGACGCCGGTTTGCTTTGTACCTCTTTTTCGAAATTGGTGCTGTCAAACAAAGCAGCAAGGATGCTGCAAGATACAACATGTAGCTACCAACCATGCCAGTGCCCCAAGCTTCCATGAAGCCCAACTCAGCCCACGGGCTAGAACAGCTCTAGCCAGAACCTGACCTGGCTACCAGCAAAGCCAACAGGCAACAGGCAACAAGCAGTGGGACCAGGCCGAAGGCGAGGGCATTTGCTTGTTCGGTGCTTACAGCGACTGCCCCAACCCTCTCTGATACCTGGAACACTCAGCTAGTACTCGAGTAGTTACTCGAGTACCGTACTCGTACTCTGTGCTGGTACAACTCGACTGACTGTCACTCGACTAACTGGACTCGACTCCAGATCAAAGCGTGCAACCGAAGAGAGGTGCTACATTTACTTTAAGTCGTAAATTCCTGGCATTATCTCGGGTCATTGTCTTTTGGGATGTCCTCTTTCTATCAATAACCGAAATTGCGCGGCAACGAACAATTCTAATCGGGCACACCGTCTTTTATTGAGCAACTCTGCAACAGCCCTGTACCGTAGGGCCGTAGGGCTAGGGCCCGACTTGCGATGCCGCCAGTCCTTTCCTTGGGGGTTGAACATTCCGGGTGTCTGAAACTGCATAGGAATCGTACTCCAGGTTTCTGGCAATAATGCCACTCGATGCTGGTTTCAACGATATAAAGATGACCCTTCTTAAATCTTGAAACTTGAAACCACCAAGACAATTAATTCATGTACAGCATCAAAAATATGACTGCAAGAGGGAAGCATGACCATCAGGGACTTAACACTCAGATCGTAGATAGGAGCTCAAACCAAACTGGGTGCCATCTTCGTAAAATTGGACGGTGTCTTTGTACCGAGCCAGGAACATGTACATCCAGTAGAACGGGCCCAATGAATTGGATTCCACCCAGCGGATGCCAGGTAGCCACTGGTTGTTAGGCGTTACGCCCAACACGGTTCCGCCTTCCACAATAGTCCTGTCGACGAGGCATTGGAAGGAAATATTTAAATATAATTCAGGAATTGTCATTATCGCAATAGATGTACGCAATACAGACGAAATAAAGCATTGATATGCGAGAATACAGGCTTCAATACACGTATTTATGCCATTGATTCATATAATACTAGATTTATTCTCAGAATGTCGCTCTCGCGTATGCAGCCATTAGGCCCAACCAATTATCGCACCGTTCCCGCTTTGTTCATGCAGGACTATTTGATCCTACCACTGATCATACTATGACTCTTTTTACTTACGGAGCTTCTGGTAGGCTCGCTTCCGCCGTGACCCAGGCAGCATAGAGTCTTTCTCCAAGAGCGAGAGAAGAGGTATTCGCAACCAACAACAGGAAGAGCTCACTATTTTCTCTTTGCAAAAGCAAAAAGCTAAGTGGTCCTTTGAGCGTTTACCCACCCAAACGAATATAAGAAACAAACAAAATATACTTTATAAGATGATTTTCAACACCAAGAGCATCTTTGCCCTCGCTGTCTTGGCGAAGGTCGCCTCAGCAGGCTTCTTCTACCCCGACACGCTAGAGGCACTCCAAAATCACCGTGAACTCCCTTCCTGTGCAGTCGGTTGCACAGGGTGCTTCAGTTGTGAGAACGGCGTCACCGATAACGGCGATGGCTCCCTGAGCGTCCGTGTGACTCACTGTAAGAGTGGTGGTACCGTCAGTTGGATGTGCTGTGTTGGTATCGACGGAACAGAGACTGGCTGTGATGTTACTGCCCCTTGTCGTCCCGACGATGGAACGGGCAAATGTAACGGTATTCCTGCTGGCCCCTCGGGTGGACTCGTCATCAACATCCCTGACAATGCCAAAACTTTCACCATCAACACCCACGATGGTCAGACTAGTGGAAATGGTGACATGAATAACAACCGCTGTGGTGGAAATGGAAACCAAGGCAAAAAGGGTTGCTCGAACAGCTACTCTGCTCACTGTGACCTCGAGTTTTCTCTGGCGACCGACTGTAAATACACAGCCGGACCCACAGCCACCGATCCTGCTCCCGTCGTCACCGATCCTGCCCCCGTTGCTACCGATCCTGCCCCGTTGCTACCGATCCTGCTCCCGTTGCTACCGATCCTGCTCCCGTCGTCACTGATGCTCCTCCAACAGACCCCGTCACCAACGCACCGCCACCCCCCACTTCGGGCACTCCCTCCACTGGAGAAAACCCATGGCTTGGTCTCACCCTGTACGAAGTTCTTTCCCAGGGAATCCCTATGCCCGATTGTGGTGATCTTGGTCAAGAAGAGTCCTTCCAAGGAAATGATTTGACCAACGACAAGGGCGAGTGTTACAGGGTGAACATTTGTCACGGAAATGCTGGCCAGCATGGCTGGAACGGACAAACTGTTTCCCGTGATTCCCTAGATCCCACCAAAGTCAATGGCCATGCTGGCGCCAACCACAATGATCCTTCAAAGAACAAGAACCCTGACTACTTTCCAGGAGCCAAGGCGGTTCCCAACCCCAACGGGGCTGGAGCGAACTCTGGATCGTTGGACGGACAATGTGGCTTCACGTGTGATGCCTCCGACGAGTTCACCTGTGCTGATGGAACCGTGGTCAAGCGAGCTCTCCCAGACTGTGAGTTTGCTGATTGTCCCACCCCAGACACTGACCCCACACCAACTGAGAGTGCTCGTGTGAATGGAGACCCTCACTTCCAGGTAAGATTCAATGTTCCTCCTTGGTTGAATCGGAGTGGTTTGGTATTGTTTCAGTTCTAACTTGTCCTTCAATTTCCTTTCCGTTGAACAGACCTTTGGTGATGAGATGTATGACTACCATGGAGAGTGTGACTTGGTCTTGGTCCACAACCCTGGCTACAAGAACGTTGGCATGGACATTCATGTCCGAACCAAGATCACTGACTGGTGGAGTGCTGTTGAGACTGCCGCCATCAAGCTTGGAGACGATGTTATGGAAGTCAATGCTGGCGGCATGGATGACTGGTTCCACATCAACGGAAAGCCCAATGAGAAGATGGAGGACGACACATGGTACCGCACTGAGATTGCTGGATTCTTGGTCCGATACAGGCGCAAGGGTATCAGTGCCGAAGCCCACATCTACCTTGATGGCCCCAAGGAACGGCTCACAATGAAGACCTACAAGGGTTTTGTCCGTGTGGATGTTCCCTGGAGAATCACTCCTGAGAACTACAAGGGTGCTGTTGGTATGCTTGGCAGCTTTGATGAGAATGGTGCTCGTAATGGCCGTGATGGCAAGCACATTGGCAACCACAATGAGTTTGGCCAAGAGTGGCAAGTTCGTGAGGACGAGCTCAAGCTCTTCAATTCTTATGAAGGTGCCGTTTCTGCTCCCGAGAAGTGCAAGCTTCCTGAGTTCACAATGGCCCAGCAACAGATGCGCAAGCGTCGTCTTGCTGAGTCCACTTTGAGCCAAGAAGACATTGAGAAGGCATGTGCTCACTTGCCCGAAAATCAGCGCAGTGCTTGCGAGTATGATGTCATTGCCACTCAAGACATTGACATGGCCAGTGTTTGGTGAGGGGTCGAATAATAAAGTACAGGAATGTTGTGTGTCAGAGACTCAATGAAATAGGTGTAATTCGTTAACTCTGACAAATTGATCCTACTGGTACACATTTACATAGTAGCTAGCTAGCTAGCTGGGTGGCTAGCCATCTCAGAAGTCGGTGGGGTGTAGTGCTAACTAGCTCGCTACATGATTGACTTTTCCTCCACTAGCTAGCTAGCTAGCTATGGCACAAGTTCCAAGAAAACGACAACGCCACTCCGTCGTCGTTTGATTTGATTCAATCACGCTCCCTGCGGGTCTGCTTGGCAGTTGTTGTTGCACTTCATGCGTTGCCGTCGCTCTCTGGCATCAATTAATTATTGGCGTTGGCCTCCAAGTTGGTTGGGTCTAATAAAAAAGGGGATTGATCATTCGATGCCCTCCGGTACCGGTACTGTAGCCACTCCTAACTACTGGCAGTAGCAGTGATCAAGTACCATCTGTCTTTTGCAAGCCGTGGTGGCAGGGTCGGGCGAGGGCAAGTTCATTCCAGCCAGTCGCTGGTTGCTTTTGTACGGCAATAGCAGTCGCCATGGAAGACTGCGATCACTGGCTGGATTCACTGGAACGAGCCGTCCAGGAAATGGAAGCCCTACAAGCCATCTACCCATGCGATCAGAATGAAGAAGACGAACCGCACAGTGTTGTCCTGACACTGAAATCTTTGGACGCGCTGACACAAGCACGTGAGATCCTCGCTAGCACTACTAGTGGCGATGATCCACTTGGGAAAGAGGCAATTCCCACGTTGGAAGTGGAACTGCAAATAGCCGGCGGTGCAAAGGGTCCTTCTGCCAGAGTCTATTTCGGACTGGGGCCTGGATATCCATCTCTGGAACCCGTCAGAGTCTCTGTGTTGACCACAGAGGGACTCGCCAACCGAAGTGCCAAGGAAGATTTGGCCCGACAGCTAAAGGAAAAGGCAAAAGGCCTCGTTGGATCCGAAGCCATTTTGGAGTTGGTGCAGGAATGCCAAGAAGAGTTGTGCCAATTACACGAGCAGACTCTGCAGCAGCACGAGGAGAAAAATATCAATTCAGACGACAATAATTCCGATCACACGCTGGGACGTCGTTGGATATGGGTGCATCACATTACAGACCGCCAACGCAAACTGGATATTGTCAGCGAAGCACGGGACCATGGATTGGGGGGATATCTCAAAGCTGGATATCCTGGGATTGTGGTAGTGGAAGGCCCTCGACGAGCCTGCAATAACTTTGTCACTTGGATCAAGGGCAATAAAAGTCGTCCGGGGGGGTTTGGCCGACAATGGGGGCATCACGTTCGCGGAGAGCTACAGATCGACAAACTCATCTTGCCTGCAAGCTTTGAGGTGCTGGACGAGGACATGAGCGCCCTATCGTCCATATGCCGTAATCACGACCTCGAAGACGAGTTTCTCAAGTTTGTCATGCAACATGGGTAATGGTGTGACGTGATCGACCATAAAGTTACCAGAGAGAGCCGGTGGCTGGATGGATCCAAATCTGTACGGAAGTACCTGTTGCCAGAGGAAAAGGAGTTCTTGGGCCAACCTCAACTTGCCTCGCGAGAGGCAAACCGGTACCGGTACGGTAGGAATGCCAGCATTTTGATCTATTTGGTGCCCCCTCAACAATTTTCAAACGAAGACATATGGCGTGGCCAGGCTGCCAAGAATGAATGAATCTAGTATGATGATACGGCGCCGAAACAACCGACTGACTGCTCGTGCGATAGACGCTCTGGCTCCGACGACAGGTTGTGTTGTGAAAGGTTTCCGTCGGTGGCGGAGCTTCACGGCATGGCGTGCCCAATGCGTGGCGGGTCGTCGTGCGATTGATGCAATGCAACGGCACGTGAACAGCGGGAAGCAGGATCTGGCTTCATCGCCGGCGGCAAACCGAAGTTTGGAGACAACACAAACGACTGGGCAACAAGGGGAACTTCTTAGTACGGTAGTATTCGATCCTTCTATGTTATGACTTGCTAACGACCGACTAGCCGCGAGCCCGTACGTAATTACGGGCGCGCACTCAACAAGCGCACTGCCTAACCTTTCAAAAGCTCTGCCACACAGTGGTAGTCTACCGGTACAAGTCAGAGGCAGAGGAAGTGCCACCACCAACGACAACTTTGGCAGTCCTTTAAAATGCAGCAGTACAGATTGAACGTGCGACCTGCGATTTTTGCTTTCGAGGTTTTGCCTGGGGCTCCTGCTCGGCAAGGTGAGGCAGCCATGCATGTGCTGATGATTGAATGATGAATCAGTCCTTTTCCAATCCTCCAGTAGGATCAATACAAGATACGGTACGCTGTACCTCACCATCAGTTGATACTTGTGTGGTCCCTTCGGGTTTGCTTCTTCAAGGAGTCTCGCGTGCGCCTGCATTTGCTTGCTTCCTCCGCCAAGCCCAGTTTAAGCTCTCGACCAGCCCAAAGGCTAGCATGAGTGCCTTAAAGCTTACAGTGCCAGCTAGTTGGTCGTGTCTAGTAGTCCTCAGCCTTCAGCCGGCCTCATCCGCTTCATGTCACAAAGTGACGTGACGGTGATGGAATCGTGTGGTCGACATGCACCCAAGACAGCCAGGGTTTGCCCTCTCTAGAGACTCACCGCTACCATGGTACTCTTCCTTTGCAAAACTCTTTCCTGGCACCATCCTTCCCGTGTGCCTGTGAATACCGATGCCAAGAGTGGCGGCCAGGTTGGAGTTCTGTGTTCCGTTCCTCTCCTTCGCGGCGAGGAGCTTCTTCACTCCCACGTGCCCCTCCAACAACTGTGATCTTCAATCTGGTGTGCCCAGCTTTCTCCAGAATTCGTTTGCTTCAGACATCGCTCAGTCGATGAAAACCTACTACTGGCTAGCTAGCTAGATCTAGCTAGCTTAGCTCTATGTAGCGGTTGAGGGTCACTGCCACTTCCCAGATCCGCCACGCCTCATCGCTCAGACACAGTACCCGTAGAGTTCCATGCATGGACACGATTTTCCTTTTCGCGTGCGGCTGACACCAACTCTTTGAGGCAATAGATATATTTGCCGTCTTGTTGGTGGGTCCTATAGTCTTTTTTCGACCGATTCGTCCTCGATCGATAAAAACTAAGCAAGAGTTTCCTTGCATGCACTGACATGCACCGGTAGCTCGGTGTTTCCACTCTGAACTCTGGGAGGACGCCAAAGAAGAAGGAGGGCAAGTCCAAGGCCATAAAATGTCCGCTGGGACCAGGCAATTATGGCAACACAAGATCGATAAAAGAAGTGGTCGATCACTTGAGCGCTTTGTACTGTACAATGTCATGTACTAGCTACAACCTGTAGCCCAAAGAGGACTATGGATCCACGCTCCATAGTAACCCACACTAACCACATCATAATAACCCGCTTTTGTATCAATGTAATCATGCGATTGGCTTTTATTGGGGCGACTTGCTTTATTGCAAACTTGACATAGCTAGCTAGCTGCTAGCTAGCTAGCACTGTAGTGAAATGGACCCTATTTCCACTTTTGCTTAGGAAAGTCATTTGTTTTAGTTTTCGATCCATCCAAGAGGCATTGCTATTGCCTTTCTTGCTGGTAATAACAATCGAATCTTTGGGGAGCTCGGCCAAGACCTCACAGCTCAAACTCCCAGCTAGCTAGTAGGCGCGTCCTCACAATCCAAACTTCAAGACGATTGAAAGCATTTGCCGCTCTTCCAACACCAGCCCCAATGCAAAACTCCACCGCAACAGGCCACGACTTCCAGGACGAAGAGGAAGGCCGTCACCCTGGCGATCTCTCAGAGTCCCACACCGCCACCCAACCCAGGTCCTCTCGCAAGGAAGAAAGGGATGGCATTGCCAAGCAGGAGGATCGATTTGTGTTTGTATTTCGGGTCTTGGTCATGGCCGTCTTGGTTCTCTCTGCCATTGCTGTCTCTGTGGGGGTGTACTTCTATGTGACCAACCAGGAAAAGGCTGCCTTTGAAACCAAGTTTGACTCAGATGCCAGCAAAATTTTGGAATCGTAAGGCTGAACCCTCTGATGTTGCTGCCCGCCTGAAAGACGTGCTAACCCAACTTGATCTTGTTCGCGTGAGAAGGATTGGCACAACCTTTGAGCAGACCCTGGGATCTACCGATGCCTTCATTACCCAACTCATCGCTTATGCCCACTACTCCGACTCCACATGGCCCTTCATTACAATGCCAGCCTTTGCCATTCACGCTACCAAGCTCCTCAAGCTCTCAAAGGCCTTCTACTTTTCTGTGTACCCATTTGTGGAGCCTTCGCAGCATGACGAATGGATTGACTATACCAATGCAACCAATGGGTGGATCCATGAGAGTCTTGACATTCAGGCCAATGACGAAGACTGGTGGGGTCCCAAGGAGCAAGACTTCAGTCATAGGCATGAGATCTTTGCCACTGGGGGCAAGGCAAGAGATGGGCCCTTCGCCTACATGTGAGTTTTGCAAGTCGCTTGCAGAGCCAAACACGTGCTCAAAGAGTGACTGTATCCAACCTGACACAATGTATCTCCTCCTCCATTAGGAACAACTTCCTTCCAAGCTGGCAAGTTCATCCAATGGTTCCTAGCGCTGGTTGGGGTTTCCCTTACAACTATGACATCTGGCAGATTGACTCTCTCGCTCACGCTATTCTGTATGCAGACAAGAACAAACGAGTTGTGGTTTCCCCTCAAGTTAATGCCATCTATGACCCCACAAGTGAAGAATCCATTGCCGGAGCAGAGAGTCAGTCCAATTGGGCTTCATCATTCACACATCCAGACATTGATAACTCTGAGCCATTCAGTGTCATCACATTCCCCATCTATGATAGCCTTGAGAGTGTGAAGCTCGACCTCAGCAAGAACCACACCTTTGTTGGAGTTGTCACCTTTTCGCTGTATTGGAGAGAACTCATCCAGAAGATCTTACCAGAAGGTTCTAATGGAGCCATTGTAGTCTTTGAAGACCCCTGTGCACCTGCCTTTACGTACCGTCTGGATGGCCCAGAGGCTACCTTCCTTGGAGCAGGGGACTTGCATGATCCGGTTTACGATGACATGAAGCACTCTGCAAGGCTTCCAGACATTGCCAATGTTCATGGAGGCAAGGAGGGATCCTACTCTACATACACAGGTCTTCCCATTGCAGAGGACTTCTGCACCAGGACAATCAGTGTCTACCCATCCCAAGCCATGAAAGAAGATCACACCACTGGGGACCCAGTCCTCTTCACAGTTGCTGCTGCCTTCATTTTCCTATTCACTTCCATGATCTTCATCATCTACGACTTCTGGGTTAACAGAAGGCAGCGTATTGTCATGCAGCAGGCCCTGGCATCCGGGTCAATTGTTTCATCCCTCTTCCCCAAGAATGTCAGGCAGCAGCTCTACAAGGAGGAAAAGGACAAGAAGGAGAAAGAGAAGGCAGCGAAGGACTTCCTCTTTGTTGCCAGAAGCAGTACTGGTACAATGGGGAGCACTAATGAATACAGTGATCTGACTTCTTCCCGGCCTATTGCGGACCATTTTCAAGATACAACCATTCTATTTGCAGACTTGAGGGGCTTCACTGCATGGTCTGCAAAACGTGAACCTGTGGAGGTGTTTGAGCTTTTGGAAGCTGTATATGGCCGGTTTGATCAGATTGCCTTGCGAAGGAGGGTGTTCAAGGTTGAAACTGTAAGCGATTCTGCAATTGCTGTGCTTGGATTCATTCTTTTCTTGTTGCCTCATGTTTCATTTGTGATCTCCAACTATAGATCGGTGACTGTTATGTGGCTGTCACAGGTGAGTGACTCAATTATGCGACAGGCTCATCACAATGGCAACACAATGCTCACAACTTTCATTTGCCATCATCTTGCAGGAATCCCCACTCCACAGAAGCGTCATGCAGCCATCATGGCCCGGTTCGCTAGTGAATGTCTGACTGCTCTTCATCAGGTAACTCACAGTTTGGCTGAAAAGCTTGGTGAAGACACAAAGAAGCTTGCCATGAGAGTTGGCCTCCACAGGTAAGGTCTAGTGGAGAACAGGGAGATGTTATTCTCGTTTCGCAATGTTATTCTCGTTTCGCAATGGCATCTTACAACAGGAGTTCCTGTCATCCTGAATCAGTGGGTCTGTCACAGCTGGTGTGCTTCGGGGCGAAAAAGGGTGTTTCCAGGTAAGGCAACTTATTCGAGTACTTGAACTTGGATGCCCCCCAGAGACATCGCTCAACAATGCCAATCTTTGTTTTCTGTGCTTGGTTCTACAGCTGTTTGGAGACACCGTCAATACTGGTAAGCCCCCCTAGCTAGTGCATTTTACCCGTCTTCCAAGTGTTTGCAGCTTTTCCTTTCTGACAAGTCACATCTTTGCTTGTTACAGCTGCGAGAATGGAGCAAAATGGCAGCCCAGACAGGATTCATGTCTCCCAAGAGTGCGCCAATGCACTCCGACTGGATGGCAAAGGCAAGTGGGTGGTTCCACGAGAAGACAAGATTGAAGCCAAGGGCCTTGGACAACTTGATACTTACTGGGTAGTAACGAGCATTGGTGGTTTGGAAACCATGTCCCATGGAACTAGTTTTTCATCCGAAAGTCCAGTCGACCTTCGGACTTCAAAGCAGAGCCCTGACTTGGCTATCACCGAGGATGCAAACCAAGATCTGGCGGAGACTGCGGATGTCACAGTTTGATGCCTTCAGGGGGTGGGATGACCCAAGCCCTGTACGAGCTCGAAATCTTGAATTTGGTCAAGTGTGCGTGTTGGCCAAGTGTTTTCTAATTTTTAACCGGTACAAATGTACTGTACTCTTCCTACGTACAAGTACCCAGTACTGTGGTTGACCGTTGTCTCTGTACTCGACAGGGCGTACAAATTGCATAAAAGCAAGGCTTCCTTTTTTAAAAAATCATAGACATCCCATCAAGCAGGGAGAAGCAGGAAAATGCATTGCACACGGCATGCACGCCTGTCGTTTCGACTTTTCCTGAAACGACAGGCGTGCAGGTCCATGGTATTATTATTATTATTATCATCATTATTGTAGTACACAAACAGTCACAGCCGCCGGATAAAACTCGTAATTAAACTATTACCTACTACAGAAGCACTCAACACGTTGCTCCTAGCTAGAGTTGTTAGTTGTTGTTGTAACTGTTCACAGTGTGGCTAACACACATCAACGCCATGGCTGTTGTTGAGTTTGTCTACTGATGAGGGGTCAGGTTGTTGTATTCAATATCACCCTTCTTCTTGCCCTTCGCATGCCTCTTCCTCATGACAAAGGATTGAGCTACCCTCTTCTTCCTCTTCTCAGCCAAGTCAATGTGGCAGAACAATGCACCAGACTCAAAGCTGGGGAAGGTAACATTCAAAGTAGAGGGATCAACTGGAAATGGGAGGTCCATGGTGAACTCTGAAATGACATCACCTCTGACATCAAGAATGGATCTCACATACTGCTGCATGGCATGGCGCCTCACATTGGTATCCTCCAGCTTCTCCCTTGTGTGTTGTTGATAGAGATAATAGAACTCCCCAATATCCAAGAGGTCTTGGTGTCACTTCTCACTGATAGTCAGCTTCTTGCCATTAGCAGAGACCATGGTTTCAATATCAGCTTCAGTCGCGCCACTGCTGCGACGGGATACAGCTTACAATTCAGCTTTACAGCTTTACAATTAGCAGGCTTATTCTAGAAAATAATCAATAACTGCTCACTTATTTGGAAATACAAACTTTACATCTCTTAGATCCTTAGATTAGTCAATGCACAATGGTATTGTCGCATGGTAGCATGCGAGGTTATGAGATGTTACTCATTCTTATTCTTATATGTCTATCCCTTATGGTTGTCAATGGACTGCGCTACTCCTTGATGCAGATCGCTCCAGAGTTTCCTCTTGCACTCTTCATCGGTAGTCCTTCCCATTATTGCAACTCAATCTCCTTGGATTCGCTCGTAATCAATCCCCTTATTCTTACTCCTATTGACGATCGTAATCTCAATGTGGACCATCCTGTCGTCAATCGAAATTGCGATGAGGATCCTATATATGGACTCCTATGGGAGTCCACCTTTCTTAATCCTATTGACGATCGTAATCTCAATGAGGATCCTATCTTGGATTCGCTCGAAAGCAATCCCCTTGATTCGCTAAACAATGGACTCCTATGGGAGTCCACCTTTTGCGATCAACCGAGCGCTAAAGAAGCCGCTACTAATGCTGTTACGGCTACTACTACTATTGCTTCTAATGCTACTACTGTTATCACCGGCAAAGCCCTATTGCCGCATCTCCGAGTAGATCGCGATCGATCGATCCAAGTTAACAGAATTTGTCGAAAAATGAGCTCCGACTGCATATATGAGACTCGGCCTGTGTGTCATGCTTTGAGTCATGCTTCGCGCTGCCTGAGTCATGCTCGCCATATGTCTTCTGAACATTGGCCTCACATTTTCGTTTCAAACCACGAAGAACAACAAAAAGAACAACAACACGGAGCGATCGCTCGTGTTGTTGTTCTCCGTGTTGTTGTTGGTCTTTGCTTACCCAGGACCGGCATTGGTCGTTTGAACTGGCTTGCAGTTGGTCGTTTGAACTGCCTTGTGGGGAACTGTCGCTTGAACAAGAAGGATTCGAATTGTGCTGTTAGTTCAGGCATGGGATCACTGGACATAAGTTTAATCGAATCTCTTTGATGATCTTGCTTGCATCGACAACATACATGGAACATTCTCCCCAGGGAATCTTGGTGATGTCCAAGTGAAGTAGCTTGGCTTTGAGGGTTTCAATCTTACTGAGAGAAGGTCTGTATATTTTCTGCAGAAGAGCCAAGAGAAGTTGGGGCCATTGTGTTTGGCTCTAGGAACATATGATTTCAATTCTTCCTGGAGTGCATCAGTGCAAGAGTTCAAGACAGCCTTTCCCGACCAGGCAAGGTTGGTTAGATCATACTGGCAAACAGGATGTTGCTGCAGATCCCCATTGGCATCGATGAGTCTGACCCCATTGACTGTGAGGTCCTGATGCCATTTTTCCATCAATAGACTCTGAAACCTGTCCAGGAGCAGTGAACATGTTGATTTTATTAATAGTGTTAGTATTAAGGTCTCCAACAACAAGCTGGAAGACCCCTTCCATTCCATGCTCTGTCATCATACTTTCAAAGGCGATAAGAGGCTAGCACATGAGACCCAGAAGCATTGGACTCAGTCAGAGTGGAGAATAGTAGACTGGTGGAATCCTTCAGTCCTTTCTTGCATGCCAATTGATAGGCTGGAGTGTGGTGTGATGTTTCAGATGGTCGTCACCATGGAAACCCCTGAGGCATAGGGTGCTTTGAGGTTCCTTTCCCAGTCCATCTGAGCCAGATCCTGTCCAGGCTCCAGTGTGGTTGATACCTCCAAGCCGAGGGGCTTCTGTAAGCTTGGTCTTTTCTTTGGTTTTCCCAATGTGCTGGAGGAGCTCCTGGAACTGAACTGCGGTCAAAGGTGCTGTAGTCATGGTTGGGTCTGATAGTGGCTCAATGGGATCTGGTTCAAAGAAAGCTTGACAATTCCTCTAGGACTGAAGAATGGCGCTGGTGCTGGTACTGTTGAAGGAGTTGATGATGAAGATGCTGAAGCAGAGGAAGCGTCGTCAAGGTCCATCAATAGCTGATGGAATAGGAGGCAGTGCAAATCAAACAGGGTCAACAAAGGAGCAACAAGAGGAGGAGCGCGGTGATATCCAGCAGTCAATCGAGTCAATCGAAGATGGAATTTATGAGTGGTTGTTGAATCCTTTGAGCTTGAGCTTGAGCGAAGCTTTGAATTCAAACGACCACTGGCTTCTTGAAGCCGGTCGATTGATCGCTCGCTGCGTACGATCCGTACGATCCGTACGCTCCGTACGGAGGA